GAATAATTATTGGCCACTTTGGGTCTCAATCCTGAACCTAAAATCAAATCCTGGGCTAGTAACTGGGGCTGTGCTCCCTCCCAGCTTCTCTTGTCTGTGGAGAGAAGCTAAAAGACCTTGACAGCAGCGTAAACATCACTTTCATCAGCTTTCTTCTGAGCACAAATCTAAAACACAGCCTCTTGCTAGCTATTATGAAGAAAGTTAACTCTGTCTCAGCTTAACCCAGGACACCTGATCAAAGCAGTATCAGCTTAATTTATCTAAACAGACATGAGCCAAGTTTTATACCATTTTCCACAAATCTGCATTTTCAAATACGCATTCTCTGCACAGAACACCTTCTGCTGAGGCGTGCTGAGACGATGCCTACGAGGCAATTTTTGCATCCTTTCTTCTGCATAAATATTGGGCACTATTTTCAATCACTCTCCTATCAAGATTAAAAACAAAACCACTTAAAATATTTAAAAACCTTTGCCTCCAGACCTACAATTTAAGGGCAGCAGTACTTATCCAGCCACCAAGGAGTTACATCTCTTGACTGTTTCCTTCCTCTTCACATGTGGAGATTTCTGTTTTCATAGCATCATTCCCACTGACAATGGGGACAAGTCAGGCCTTTCTTATCACTGAAAATGCAGGCAGTGAAATCTTTCCACCTAAACTATTCCACCTATTCTCAGCACCTAGTACCTCAGACATCTAATCACAAAGAAAACAAGAAAAAGCTTTCACAGCTAATTTGCATGTCTAAGCAAGGTTTAACAGCTGGACTAAGCTATTCCCACTTGCTCACTGCACTACAATAGAGTCCCAAGCATTCTTCCACACTCCCAGTTATAAAGGTCACTTTTAAGAGTGAACTTGAGCATAATCAGGGAAGTTTAGTCTTGCTGTATCTTTGTGAAGCTTAAAAAATGCATCTATTGCGGGATGAATTTGAAGAAAAACAAACCAACCAAAAAACCCAAGGTACTGTTTTCTTGAGTATTGTTTCTTAGCCCATCTCATCAAGACGGAATAAGTCGCCTCAGGCATCACAATGGAACATTAATGCCAACTAAAGGGCACCTTTCTCTGATTTCCATCATGCAACCTGCACTTTCAGGGCAAAAATGACAGTCAAGCCATGTATAACACAGAAGCAGCACAAAAATCAATCGAACTTTAAATCGCAAATCAAAAAAGAACTAAATACACCATATGTGTAATTCACCTCATCTGTCAACTTCTGAATACATCTATTTTTTATCATAAGTTAATTTTCTGCAGAACTAAGCTCTCTGGAGAATTCACAAAACCTTCCCTATACTGACACGGCTTAACTGTGCTGCTGGAGCTTTTAACCCTTACCTGTGGGGAAGTAAACCACAAGTATCCAGATGCCAGAGCAGAGAGATTACAGACTGATTTAGTGAAGCTCTTGAAGCAAACCAACAGCTGAGACATAGATTTAGCTGGTGACAGCTGGGAACTTGGCCAACTGCTCTCCTGTTATTTTCTTTTCCCAGTGAGAACCAGCTCACGCAAGGAGGTAACTGAAATCAATTCCTGTTACTGCAGCATTACAGTTACAAAATGAAGCTCTCCAAAGCCAGTGAGTTCTAAAAGCTAGTGATATTTCTACTACAGATATGGCAAATTTCTTATTCCTCTCTGATATGTAAACTTCAGTCACTTAACTAAAAGAAGGAAAAAACCATGAACTTTCTTATTGCAGCAAAGACAGTGATGTAGAAGCCTTCTGGTTCTAAAGCAACACCAGTCTGAGGGAACTCGAGTTTGCTGGTGTTCCATGCACGCTCACAAGTTACTCAAGCCTTTAGTTTGGGAAATGAGCTGAGCTATGGTTTCTTGGTTATCCAGTGGAAGTCTTTCCCATGCCTGTCCTTCACTCCTCAAGCACAATGGAAATTGCCAAGATAACAAGCAGAAAATTCTGAAAAAAAACTTTCATTTACTCTTTTGGTGTAAAATACGATTTCCTGTCATTATTTATAGCCACTCTAAAAACTGACGTCTAAGCTCTGCTCTGGAAGAATGAAAACTTGCATATTCAACTCATTGCAAGCAGGATTACCACTCCTGAGATCTCTGCAACAAATGATAAACATCTATGCAAAGAGGTAATTTGGAAGAACAAAAGCTTAAAGGAGACATACCTTTGGGCGCACTCCTAGGAAGCCACTGCAATTTGGGGCACCACATTTACAAACAGTCTTTCCGTTTCCCAAACACTCCAGATTGTAGTTGAAAGTCAGCTCAGTCCCTGGCACAAAAGCAGATAAAACCAAGCAAGCTGTAATGAACTATTGGGAAGAACATCTTACTGCTGAAGTAAAAGCACTTTTGAAATATAATGCCACAAATGACTGTCACAACTACACAACAATACCAACTATTAATCTTCCCATAGATCTGTGTGAACTGAAAATTCAGTGCAACCCCATGCTCCTACCACATAGTACAGCTAAAAAGGGCATTCGACCCCAGCCTGCAGCATGCTTTAGTTCCACTTCTTGGCCCTGTAGATCAGAACTACGAACCTCCATTTATACCGTGAAGTATGTGTCTCATTATGTTAGAGCTGGTGTTAAGTTTCATGAATGCCTATGTGAAAATAAAAATTAAATGTCTTCCCAGGGAGCTACAAACCCTCCACTTTCCTTACAGAAACACTCCCACGCTTTTAACGGCAGGTTCCTTACCAGCTTTGATATTTACAATTGCGAAGAGCCCGACGCGAGTGTCGCCGTTCACACACCACTTCTGGGTCTCACAGTTTGGCTGGCAGCAATGGTTCATGAACCGAGCATAATTGCCCTTTGGCCCAGCATCAATGATTCGATCCTGGAATTGCAAAAAAACCCCCAGAAAAACACATTTAATAAACTGTCATTTCCTGCTCAAGCTGTTGCAGCCCAGGTACTGGTGCACCAGGAAAGCATTGATCAGTAGCGAAAAGCATGACAACGGAGGCATCTGACAATGCTTGCTTGCAAAGCAACTGTGCAGGTGTATGTGTTTTAACAAAGCATAAGAGACAGGTGTCGCTGTGCTGCCTGCACCGTCAACAGATCCCAAGCAGTTTCCACACACTGATGTCTCTTGTAGGGCTGGCAGATCATATGGCAACACAAAATAATTTTCCTCTTCAAAGACACAGGGGCTCCCAAACAGCCAGGAAAGTGCTGCTGCTGCTTTCTGGGAAGCTAGCTCTCCCTGTGGGGTCAGTACAGGATAAACACTAGACCAGCACACTTCTAAGGAAGCACTTGTGGTTCCAGACCCTGACTTCTGCTTAAAAGTGAAATACCAGTTCCCATTTCTTGTACATCAATGTACAGAAGGAAAACAGGAACAGTATGCAGCGTGTACTTCTGTACAGCACACTACTATTTGTTAAATCGCACTGGAGAGGAGAGGGCAGCTACAACTGGGATTTGGTTTTGTAATAATGAGGGAGGTATTGACACTTGGTTTTGCCCCTGCTCTCACCCATCAGCCAGACAAGAACATGACACAGTCAATGTGAATTTCCATCAAGATGAGGGGATACTTGGACATTTGAGGGCCAATGCCTTCTCTGTGTGCACCAGCCCAGTTCTGGACTCCCCGGGGTCCAGCTGCTGGGAAGGATCCTGAGGTTATCAAATTCACCCTGTTATGCTGAAGCAGGATCTATAGTCCTCAGACAACTGCCTCACCTCTTCTGAATAAACTCCAAAGAAGTCAGTTCAGACTTTCCTCCTAATCCTAATATCCAACCTGAAGCTTCTCCACTGCATGTTAAATCCATTCTTTTAGTCTTCTCTTCAGTGGAAATGCAGTCCAGCTCATCAGCAACTCTTAGAACCTTTTTACTTGCTGGAGAAGACCACTATCATGCCTTCCTTGCAATAGTTTTACTTCTGTCTAGGATCCTGGCAAGAGAAATTCCTTCCGCATACCTTATCTAGTGTCAACATGTAGAAATTGGTGATGTCATGCTCTTGAGCATAGCGGATTCGGGCTCGGCACTCCTCTTCATCAATTAGCTCCCCAACGTACTCATTAACAAATTCACCCTGCCAGAGAGAAAATGAACAAGCTGGTAAGAGGAGTCAAATTCCCTACAGGATGGAGGGGCATCCACCTTTGTGCTAAACCTTAGTTCCCGTTTCCTTTGTGGAAACCTTTTCATAAAAATCTTCCCTCTGTGCTTTGCAGCCAGTTTGACCTATCACCTTCACTAAGACCCCTGAATCATATATCCGTTTCACATGCTCCACAAATAACTTGAAATAAATTAAATAAAGCAACAATGTCCATCAGATTATTCTTTGTGCTATACAAAGAATTAACATTCAGGGGCGGCATAAAAGCAAACCACAAGAACAGCTCTTTGCTGCAAAGCTCAAAGCACTGCCTAACTGCACTGGAAACAATATCCCTTCGGGGACCAGCCACCCTGAGCAGCATGATGCACCTCGGGCACCTGCTCCTGCAGCGAATCCATGGGGTTCCTGTGCAGTGCAGTCCCGTCGAGACTGTACTTCGACTGTCAAAGGGAACCCCAGCTTTGCTCCAGTGGGACTAATAGGCTCCTCTATTAAATAACTTGAGTTTTGCTGTTTCCAGACTGTCTGCTGAGACTGAAACATAACAGGCGTGTGGAATGGCAGAGAGATCCTTTAAACTACATCACAGCAGGCAGCAGAGCCTAAGCTGGATAGACTCACATTTTTCCTTCCGCTACCAAGACTCTCATGGTGGAAAAGCCTGGCTATTCAAGAATGGAGGGGGAGTATAATGACTGTTCCCCATCTGGAAATCCTGAGCGCTGTCTTCAGGCCAGTGTTCTGGTGTATTCATAAAGCCCACTGTCCATCCAAGCAGACAGACCAAGAAATCATCATTCTTACCCTTTTTGTTTTGGACATCAACATGCAAACCATTTTCTTCGTTAGCTGAGCCAAAACATTCTTGTCAGGGCTGGAAAAGTTAAATTAATCCATTTGTTTCCTAAATGGCATTCTACAGCAGGAAGTCTTCAAATTGTGGAAGTCAGTAATTTTTCAAATCTATTGAAACCCACTGAGCAAGAGAGAAGTGTCAAGAGAAAATTACATGCAGAAACAGAGCACGTACCTTTCTGATGTCTGTTTTGGCTTGCAAGCCCCAGCCTCGTGCCAGCGTGCGGAAAATCTGTACCTCGGGATACTGTCGCTTGGAGAAGCACTGGTTTTGGCAGCGCTCCCCAGCAGGGCAGACCATGGGGTGGCACTCATAGAGCAACATGCGATTGATGCATTCAGAGTCCAGGCCGCATGGGTTTTCATCTGTTGGTTTGCAGTTGCAACGCGGTATCTCTGAGAGGTCTGCAGTGAAGATCTGCACCTTACCCACCGGCCGGTTCACCTTGAGTGCACATAAAAGACGTTAGCTCTTAAGAACAACAGGTTATCCTAACAGTCACTTCTATACTCAACCCTTGCCTATGAGCTGACAGGCTGTTGTGTCAGTTAGTGACAGCAAGGAGCAGAAGGACAAAAGTACAGGCACATATGTACTTCTGGGCACACTATTTCAAGAGGTACACGGTTAGAGGGAAGAGCTAAGGAGGATGCAAGTCCCCCATTAGCACCACCTGGTGCAGTGTGTATTCTGTGACCCTGGAGCGGGGAGAGGCTGCCAACTGTCCCCCTCCCATCACCACTGTGCCTACGTCCAGCCCAGGTGGTCCAACGCTCTCGCTGGGTGCACACCATACCTGTGACCAACACCAAACCATTTTCTGAATGAAACAGCACCTTCTCCAGTCTCTGAGCGTGAGGTCCTTTACTTACAGCCCTGGTTTTTGAATCTGTTACCTTCAAGCTGGTTTGTGCTCTCAGCTGTCACCATGAGAAACAGGTGGCCATGCCCATGACAGAGTACAGAGGGCCTACCTACACACCGGGCCACAAGCAGTTAGCTCCCTAGCCAACTGTCCTGCAGATGTAAATAAAAGAAAAAACAGACAAGGCTGGGGTTGGAAGGCCCAAACACGAGCTCAAAGTTAAGCCAAGGAGCTCTCTAGAACCTGCTCCAGAAGGCAGCAAAGCGCAGCACCAGGTGGAGAAGCGACTGGCATGTCTGTGGCATGAGCAGGGTCCTTTGATTACGGTTAAAGGCAGCGAACACTGAAAGGCAGGCAACAGAGAGTCAGGACTTTGGAGAGAGACACTGAAAAGCTCCTTGCCATTCTTTGCCCAGTTGAGCAATACCATCATCTCCCTTTCCTCTCCCAGGACAAAAAAGGAGGGGATCATTTAGCAAAACTATTCCAGCCCCCACACAACTTACCTAGTCCCACCCACTGAGCAAAGTTTCCGTGCTGGCAGCCTGCCTGAGGCTAGCGTAGCCCTGATCCTCCTCCTCTGTTTAAAAGCAAACCCTGCAGAAACCCCTAATTAATTTCCTCAATACAGTCTCCCCTTCCTCCTAGTATTGCCTCCCACCTCTGACCTTCCTTGTCACTCTTGTGTTCTCCTCTGCTGCTTCCCATCTCTTACTCTGACTGTTAGCTCATCACCTCGTTAAGAGTGAGGAGACTCAGAGGATTAGGACTGCCCACCACTGGACAGACAGAGGTGCACTTGCTGGCTCTGGCACTATCACCCCAAGGGACCACAGTGTCTGAGCATGGTGCCTCTGTCAACACAGATGCATGTCCAGCTCCAAAACAGGGCGATACTTGGACTAGTGACAACCCTGATGTGACAAAGGATCCCAAGCATGTTTTGCAGCAGCCTCTCATGTTGGTGCTCCTTGGCACCAACAGAAGGCCAGGACAGAAACAGACTCAGACAGCTTCAGCCACTCCACCTTGAAGCCTTCTTCAGTTCACCATGTGCTCCTGCAAACTGCTTTCTTTCATAGAGACAAACAGCTTGCACCCAGACCTCAGAAGAGCTGCCATGGCTACTAACCATGACTATTATTATTTACATTAAAAGGGTATTTCAAAGGCTCTAGACTGCTTCCAGAGTTCCTTCATGTTGTGGCCAGAGACAGGCTTAAAAAAATACCTAGGAGAAACTGTATTTCCTCCATGGGAGCTGCCTGGCCCATACTGCTGACATAGCCATTCAGTTGTGTTCTTTACACTGTACAGTAACTCACGCAGGACATACCTGCCTGCCTAGAAATCCTAGCTAGAAACAAAAAGTGCCAGCAATCAGTTAAGCTTTCATAGTTTGCCACATAAAAAAGGGAAGGAGCAGACAGACCCAAGGAAAAAGAACAAAGTCCCTGAGTCACTGGGTTTCTGATCAGTCTGGACCCACATCTCAAGCACGTGCACCCACCTGGACCCAGCTCTCAAGTCACCTCCATCCTGTAGGACTTCTGTCGCTGCTCCAATTCTACCTCAAAATAATACAGCCCTAAACATGAAGAGCTCCCAAAACTCAGCAAAATGCCTAATATCCCAGCACATACATCTGCTTTAGCATTTCTGTTCAGTCACCAACCGATACAGAAAGAGATAAAACAGCAGAGACAAAACAAGATATGGTGGGTTACCATCCTCCACACAGCCCTGCCCCCCTGACCATCTCCTGCCTTGCACCCCCTGGGATGCCACCTTGCCATAGTAGCACACAGTACTCAAGCATATAGGATATTACTAGCACTCTCCTCTTAAGCTCTCAAGGTAGAGAGACACTTCCTTCAGACCACACAGCTGACATGGAACAGCACAGAGATGTCCAGATCTGTCCCAGTAAATCAGAGTACCTCTATTACTGGTGTCCAGTTTCCACACAGCTCTGCACATACACGAATCCTTTCTGTGCAGGATGACGGACGATGCCAAGAGGACCAAAGTAACCTTCAAAGGCAGCCAGATGCCCAAACAGTAGAAATGTTTCTGTATACCTGTAAATCAGCTGCACCAACACCTCAAGCCTTCTCTTCCGTACCTGTCCCCCCCACTTGCTCTCACCTTGATGTGTTTGTAGGGAGGAGGCTTCTTGTCATTCTTTTTGTCTTCCTGAAGCTGTCTCAGTTCTTTCTGGGCCTTCAACTCTTCAAATCTTACTGCAGCTTCCTGAAGAGCTAAGTGAGAGAACAGGCTGTTACGAGGAACTCCCTGTTCTCACATGGAGCTGGGCTGCCAGCACCCACCCAGTGCTCACAGCTCCACGAACCTCCCTGGCTGCCTGCTTCAGAGGCAGAGGTTCACTGGAGGGGGGTGAAGATAAGGCCAATATGGGGCAGGTGCAGGAGTTACAGTAAGTGACCTGCCCACAGGTGATGAAGCATCCAAACTGTCAGCTAGCTTTGCCTGCTTTTGGGTAGAGGTGTCAGGCAGCTGCATTCACAACTCTCAAATGCATTTTTATACACAGATAATGACTGTATTAGACACAGGGAAGTTGACAAAGCAGCAGCTCACCCGGATTTAGAGCAGCTGTGTCAGAGCTGGAGAAGCATTCAAGATCTGCACACCTTTCTCCCTCTCCGGGAGTCAGACCAATGAACATTCTGAGGGTGCTGGATGACAGATAAGCAGCAGCTCATTCTACAAATTTAATTTCACTTTATCTCTAAGACAACATTTCTCTCTGTTACAAGAATGCCACTTCTCCAAACGGAAATTAAGAAAAAAAGAACATGTACCTCCCTGAATGAAGACACATTACCTTTCTTGTATATGCCATCTACGCCCTTCCCCATCTTGTCTTTGCTGCTGACGTCGCCTTCCATGTAAGGGAACACACGGGCCTGGTGGGTCCACAGGTAATCCTTGGAGCCAAAGAACAGCACAGGGAACTCACCGATGTCATGTTTCATTTTCTGGATGTTAACAGGAATTGTCCTAGGATGGCAAATCTCAGCTGGCCACCATCTGCAACACAGGGAAGCGCAGATGAAACCTCTGGCTTGCTCACTCCCAATCGCCTCGGAAGCAGGCTATTGCATGGAGATATGGGGAAAAGTGTGTGAGGGCTACCAGCAAGGCTGGGCGGGAGACAAGAGGCTACTTGAGAAGGAAAGCGTGCATTTTATCAGCTGCTACATGCATGGAAAACGCCAGAGGCTGCTGCACTGTACCCTGCAGGGAGGAGCAGCTTCTCACCTCAGTCACCATGACCACTGAATGAAGAAGGGATGGGGACAAGTCTATTCTACCTTCACCTACCTGTAGCGCCCAACTTTCACCCAGACTACTTCCTTGTAGTGTGGCTTTTTGCCTGCCTTGCAATCATTACAATACCAGCTTCCCTCTGGCATCTCAATGTTTAGACACTCACGGTGAAACGCAGCCGGGCACGACTCGCAGCATAAAAGGCTGCCCCCTGTAAAGACAAGGAGGAAGAATTTATCAGAGTCAGAGCACAGAAGACCAGAACTCCACACTTCCAGACAAACACAGCTGAGAATTTTAACACAGCTGAGAAAAGTGCATGACTCTCTTCTGCAAACCCCGAAGTTGTATTTAAATGGGGATGGACAGGAAGGCACCTGCTCTCTGCAGTTCTCACTAGCACACTCTGGATGGGCAAAGCTTCTGCCTGCTCTAATGACTTCTTGTCAGGGCATTCCTTGATGACAGGCAACCCAGAACAAACAGGCTCACCTTCTGAGCAGACAAAGCACCAGCTGACATTGACGTGCTCGTGGTTGCGGCAGCCCCTCCGTGCAGTGAAGTGATTTGGGCAGATGATGCTGTTGGAGGCGAGGACCACGGACCCAGCAGCGAGGCAGAAGTCATTGGAGTGGTACGCAACCGGGCATCGCACACAGCGCATCAAGCGACCTAGCACCAGAACACGTCAGAAATACAGTGAACCTCTAAAGGAGGCTGATATTTTGATTCCTCCCAAAATTAGTCTCTGTTGATACCTAAGCTCAAAACAAGAAATCACATGTGACCTTTGAGAATGGAAACTGACCTCAAATTTTTCTAGACCATTCACGGCATACTGACTAGATTCATATGAAATTATTTAATATAACAAAATACATATAAAATTACATATATATTTGTATCTAACATATACACAACTGCATTACAGAGGTGAAAAACCTCCTGCATGTTGTGCAGAAACAGTTCAAGAGTTCACAGACTGGGACTGTTTCCTATCATACACAAATAATTAGTAAATCGTCTCAGACAGTAATTACAGAGGAGGTGTTCCAAGTGCTTAGGCTGTTAATAATGAAACCAATCCCTGTATCTTCTGAAAACATCGGCACTTGCCTCTCCACTTTATGAGATTTTACCCTGAAATTCCATAATGGAGAATTTAGAATTGCCTACAGGCCTAATTTATCCAACATTTTTTGTGAGCCTGTTTTCAGTTCCTCCCAGGAGGCTACAAGCGGGGAGAAGAGGTGGGAGGAAAGGGGTAAATCTGACCACTGAGAAGCAGCAACCAGAGGAATGCCAACGCAAATGTTCAGTGGGGAAGTGGCTAGCTGTGGGCTTTAGGTCTTAGTGTTCTTTTCTACAACATATGTGGGGAAAAAAAAGAGACAACCTAAACACAGACCTTGAGTATAAAAATAGAGCTGGTCTTATTGACACTTGTCTTAAGATACTAAGGATTTAAAGAAAGGCAGCTTTAGAAGCAAATGTACAAGGCCGTCACACAGAACTTTTAAGTTTAATCATGTAAGATAAAGGTCAAGGTATTGCTGCAAACAGCTCAAACAAATGTTTGCCTGGGAAGCTTAGCCCAAGGGTGTCACTACCACAAGGCGAGAGTTTGTGTTATAAAAAAAGGAGAACTAGAACAATATTGTAATTTTTACTATGCTGCTCTCTATGCTGTTGCCTTGACAGCCAGTGCTGCTAGGCAGGCATTGTCTGCAGCACTGGCACAGTGAAAAGTACGTAGGAGAAACATGAGAGTGTCCGTACAGCTCCAGAGACTAATTCTCCAGAGAGGCATGTGGCACTGCTGGACATGCAGGCATCCAAGCGTCTGGACGGATGAGAACATTTTATTTGCCGTATCTGACCATCAGGAGTGCTGAGGAGCAGCAGCCTCACACACTGACACCACCCCATCCACCAGCAGCCATTCCTCAGCAAACGCTACAGCAAGCACTGTGGCAAGGACAGGAAATCAACACAAAGAACTAGTGCACCAGGCACCTAGACCACCCTAGAAGATTTTGGTACCTTTAGACGCAGAGATGTTTGCTGGGTTAGCAGCATGACAAGTCATGCATATGTGCAGGGAGCATCGGAAGCCCTTGTTCTGCATGACTGTGGGCGGATACTTTTGTATGCATGCTTCATGGTAATACTTCCCACAGAGGGGCAGCAAGCACCGTTTTACATCTTCCCCGCAGCTCTTGCACACAAAGCAGGTATGGACCCCTGGAGAAAGAGTAGCAGATGTAACATCAGTCACATAGAAGGGCTAAATGAAGACCTGCCACTTCCATCAGGCTGCGCATTAGCACAGCACAACTTCCCAACCGGCTGTACCTATCCCAGAGCACAGCTCTCTGCAGCGGGCTGGTTTTGCCTGCAGCTGCAATAAAATTACAGATTGAAAAAAATATTACTATAGTTATGACTTCAGGACAGGGAAAAATAAGAAGAACAAAAATCAACAACCCTACTTAGATGTTTCCCCCTTTCCAGCCCACTCCAGACTCATTCTCCCCAAAACAGCTCTCTCTCCCTAGTCCCAAATAAGAATTTTCCCTTCTCTTTCCCACCTGGGCATTCATTTCTTCACACCCCAGACGTCTGAATCAACAGTAAAGACCAGTCAATTAAAAAGTCATTATCAAACATCAAACCAATAATCAGAGGACCAAGACCTAGTTAGCGGCCCTACTGCAGGTACATTACTCCAGCAAAGGAAGCACCACGTAAGCATGCAGCAAGCACCCTGTCTTTCTGCACTTGCAAATGCTGTCCTACCTGTGGAACACTCATTGCAGATGAATTTGCCCTTTGGCATCTCTGAGAGCCCAAGGCACTGCAGGTGGAAAGCACCACAGCACTGCGCCTCACACAGCAACAACTCCCCTGGCTTCTCGCAGATCTGCAGGGAGAGAAGCACAGCGTCAACTCTGAGCAACCTCCTTCCCCAACTCAACCCAGACAGCAACAACCCATGTGCTGGCCACGACTGCCAGCAGATATTCCTATGGAAAAATGCTAAATTTTACTTGTATCAGTAAATCCAGGTGGCTTACACATCTCCATTGCCATTTGCCACACAGTCCCAGCTACCCACACCACCTAAAATGAATCCTGCATTGCTGTGTCTCCCTAACATCTGAACTTTAGCAGGAAGAAATGCAACTGCAGAGCACAGGCTCATTTCAGAGGACAAAAAGCTGGTTAATTCTGCAATAAGCACCTTGAGGCTAACTGGGCTTATCTAGGGCACTAGCATGTCCCAGAACTCACACAAAGAAAACTTTACAGTGGTGAAGTTTCAAAGAGATTTCTTGAAGGACACTACCTGACACACGTTCTCCTTGAGAGCTGCTCCTCCTCCACGCTCCCCCTGCACCTTTTTGGATGAAGGCACTCCATGGTCATTCTCTGACCCCTCTTCATTTCCCTCTTTGGGGCTTGTAGCAGTCCCATGAACCGATGTCTCCCCCTTTAAAAAGAAATCCAGAATCAGGGTTGTCAGTAGTTCCTGTTCCGATTTGGGAACTACAAATTCAGACATTGGGCACATAACAGGTTTGGCAGTTGTCTGTGTGCTACCCGCCCCAGAGAGAACATCCCCCACATAGTTCCACCAAAAGACTTAAAAGAAAGAGCTCTTAAGTTTACTAAATCATTAAAACACACTACATACAGTTATTTTCCTGTGTATAACCCCTGACGAAGGAGTTCATGGCTAAGGAATAAAGGTATTGCCCTGCATAGAAAAAAATCAGGTAGGCTAGAACAGTCTGAAGCATCCCGCATGCTTATAATTTGCTTGCACTGGAAATGCAAACAAAAAACTTCAAGCAATCTTTATTGCAGTTGTCACCCAGCAAATAAGCCAGACTTTTCCTCACACGCACCTCAGCTTGTCCTACCCCATGTAAAATACAGGCACACAGGTATTCAAGGCTTGTGTTAGTACAAACTAGCTTGCCAACAAGAGCAGCGCAGCATGGCATTTACAGCACGGTCCTGCCTTAGGGCAGTGAGTCTTTCATCAGGATCTGTCCTGTGCAAATATCACAGCACTGACCATAACATCTGCTGGTGAAAGAGCACCCTGCTGAGAAGATGGGCTTCAAATGACAAAGGCCCAACTGCACCCTCACAGGCCAAGTCAGGGATCCTGACAAAAGGCTTCCAAGGTGGAAGGACACCTTCTGATGTGTCCATAGGACCTCTCCAGACACTGGCAGAAGGAAGGAGAGTAGCATCCTGGAGACACTTGTTTCTACAAGATACTGCTGTCCTGGAGCTGCATGTGGCAGCACTGCCTTCACTTTTGTCAGGACAGGCAACTAAGAGCTGGGAAACACCATCCTGACAGTGTCCAAGTCTCTCGGGTACAGTCTAGGCAACGCTTCAGTGGTCTCACCAGCCCCAGCTGCCACTCCAGAGCGGCCATTAATGCTGCACCAAAGTGATGTCTTTAGCTAAGTACTTTAAGCAAGAACATTTTAAGGACTGCCACTTTTTAATATCCCAGCTCACTGCAGTTAGCTGAGTGATCTCAGTGTGCAGCTACCAGTCCCTCCTCGGGTCACCAAGCCAGACCCAGACACAAACCATACATCTGAAAAGACCCCATGAGGAATTCAAACTGCTGGCAGGAGCAGCAGCCATCATTCTCACACCTTCAAGCCTGCTTGGTGCCAGGTGTCCAGCTAATCAACACGAGGGGGAGCTTCACACCACTTTCTGTACGGAAGATCACCTGTCTGAATTGTGGTGCTACTAAGATTGTAAGCTGAACCAAATGCCCACTGAACACATTATCAGCCTGGACAAAATGAGGACATAAAGATCTCACAAAGTTTAAAGCTGGATGAACCTGGAGCTGGTATTCTGGTCAGATAATGATGCTTCCTTTGCCTGGCTTGTGGGTTGTTTTGGGGTTTTTTTTTTGCCTCCATTCCCTGAATGCAGCAGTATGCTTTTATCTGGGAACATTCTAAAGCCATGTGAGTTCCATGGAGCAATGACACACAGATGCGCTGATGGTACATTAAAGCACAAAATACAAAGATGAGTGGTATAAATTTCCTTTATTGAGCACAAAAAAGTGAAGTCCCAGCTACAAATTATTGCCAGTCCAACATACCATACAGTGTACAGCCTTACATACCACCATCACAATCTCGCTGGAAGGCTGGCAGTGATGCAGCCTGTGGGGATACTGATAAGGAGCACGTAAGCTGCTGCCACCCTACCACACAGACCTGGTGAGAAGGGAGGGAAAGGTCTCTACAGCACTGATACAAAGACCATCTAAAAACACAACAGCCACCTTTGCCTCTATATGCGATAGCATCTTCTCAAGCTAAGTGCTATGATACTTCCGCTCCTACAGCTGTATTTCCACTAGAAATTATGTAAGTCTGCTGCAAGGCAAGGCAGCCCTCTGGCCCAAACACTTGCTTTGGCTCCTGGAATGCTCCAGGAGCAGCACCAGCGATCAGTGCTCCAAGGACTGGGTACAGCTCAGGTCCTCCTATTTCTACAGAGGTGCTCCCTCTTCTGCTCAGCTCTGCAGTGACCTCAGGGTTGCAGGGGTCACTGTAACGAAGAACAAAAGCAGGGTTAATCAGCTACTGGTACGGGCAAACAACATCAGCTAGAGCTTCTGCTGATGCTGGGGGCCCCGTGCTACAGACACAAAGTGAGCTCAGCCCCCGTCATGGTCACTGAGGTCTCTGTCAGGAGGGGCCGGGTGCTGGTAAACAAAGCACCACCTGTCCTGTGGCCAGTGGCCATAGCTTCCTGCTGTAGCTAAGGTTTGAAGATAGTGTTTTGGAAGAGGGGGACATACTCAGATTTTCTATAGACAGAGATAGGAGGGATTTAGAACTGGTTTAGGCTTTTCCATCCTCCTGGCTGCTTTCTACCATGGCTGCTAGGGCTCTCCTTGTTTTGAACCTTGGTGGGCATGTTTCATGATTTATTGGAATGGGAGACTAAAATACATATAGGAGTCATATAACATTAACCAGAAACTCCCTCTTCAGATCTGAACCAACTGGGCCCACACTGACAGTGTGGCACAGCATGCCTGTTCTTCCAGCCTAAACCCATCCTATTTGGTTCTGCAAACAGCTGGCCAGCCTGCACATTTCACACGCCAGGATCTTAGCCTGATTTTAATCAATGCTCCCAGAACCGCATCGAGAAGGGAATGTCAAAGCTAGGCAGGATGGGCAAGGCCAGATACTTGTGCTTTGTGAAGTGGCGGAAGGCGATCACCATTCAAGGCCGTCACTCAAAAGAACCTGTCACAATTCCCCTCCTTCCCCTACCCAGCACAAGCACTGCAAATACATACCTCCTACACAGGGCAGGTCTCTCATCTTGGGTCTTCTTCCAGAGCTATCCCTGCTGCTGTACCTGGCACATCCTCAAAAGACTGGCCTGTTCCTTGGCACGGCCTGACCTTGGCTCACAACCTCGACAACTATTTCGACAGCATTTTGTCTCAGTCTCTTGCTGCCCTGATGTTGTGAGCTTGCACTTCTGGCTCCACAGACAGGCAAAGACAGAGAAAGCCGCTTAGGTTCAGCCCAGGCAGACAAGCTTTCCTCTGCCCTCTTTTCCTCTGACAGCAGCGGGATCCAAGGCTTCACTGCGCTGTATCAGATTCTCTATTTCTTCTAGCCCCATTCAGCAAAAGGTGGAGTTCCTCGCCTGGTGTGTGGAAAGTCACGTGGGGACCAGCGTGGTCCAAATTCCACGTGAAAGCACAATCACATCTCCACAGCACCCCAATACTCACCAGTACCCATGCACTCACCTAAGCCAAGAGGTGAAAACTCTCACCACAGCAGCTCAAGAGACACAATCACAGAGAAATGAATGCTGGCAAAAGGTGCCAAGAATTGGTGCTTTTTTTTTTTCTTGCATGGTTTACCATACTTAACTTCAGGTACTCAACACAGATGTCTAAGGCTGGAGGCAGTTAAGAATCCCTGGCTTCCTTTGCAGTGAGTAGCGGGTGCAGGATTCAGAGCCATGGCCCAGATACTCTGCTGCTCTGAATTGCCCCCTCTTTTCCTCCTTACGAAAGATTCACAGAGAATTTGCTGGCTCAGAGCAGGTGCCTAACAGCAGACAGTGTTAACTGCCCCACAGCATTGGCAAAGATATTTGTACAGGCTTCCTTGAAACATGATTCCAGATGAGCACACTTCAGACAGAGCACTAACACCAGTGCAGGAAGGCTTGCATGGCCCAGGGGTATCACCCAACTTTATCACCCCCATCAGAAACACCCTTTTTCAAAAACCAGTAGCAGCAGGGTGGCTGGCACTGCTCATACAAGTGTTGTGAGGTTTGTGCTCTCCTGGAAGCAGTACAACAACAACAAATGTAACAACATATGTCTATAATTGGCTCCTGAAATACATACTGACTATTCTGCCAGAACAGCCTGCTGCTGCACCTGGGCCACTGGAA